TGTTTACACTTAGCTTGAAATCTTGGAAGGAAATGTAATGAAATTATTACTTGGTTATTTTACTTTGAGAAATAACCGTATCCACAGGGAAAATAAGAAAACCTTAAAAATATAAACAAGTTATTTTCAAGTGAGTCGCTCATGTTCCTAGCAGAGTGCCATCTCGCCTTGCTCTCTTTGCAGTGCTTCCTTCTTACCACTTCCAGCCACTTTTTCATCCCCCTCCACACTTTGAATTATTAATTTCTGTCCCAGTATCATTCTCCTCCACCCTCTAAAGCCTGTTTCAGAAGCTGGTTCTCGCTTCTTCATGGACACAAGCATCTGGGGTGATCTGTTGTTGCACGGAACGAGAAGGCCTTTCTCCGAGGACACCCGGTTGGGACACGCAAGAGGAGCCATGCAGGAGCCCCTGCGCCCTCACAGCCTGGTGACACTGGACAATCTTCAGCAAGGTCTTTGTATCGCGGGGGCTGAGAAGGTTGAACTGCACTTTTGCTGCAACATGGTGTTTCTTCTCTTCCCTTATCCAGATGTTAGAGTGTTTTTGTCACTTTTGTTTTTTTACAATCAGAAATGTCATTTGAATTATCCCGACATTTTTTTATGTAACTATAAGATATTATTGTAATTTGCACTACGTATGGACCACCCAACAGAGTAAACCTGTGAATCTGTGTCTTTCTCATTACAGCCCAGCGTCCCAGGATAGCTCTCAGGATCCGTAGCGTTTAATACGCGTACGTAGCCAACAACTCATTTGGAAGAGCTCACTAAATTTCCTCATTTAAAAACTTGGGTGATCAGTTGTTGACTTGAACACATTTCTTCTGCTTTTGATCACCACCCAACATCAAATTACAAGCTATAATAAAAATTCTAGACATTTTGCAACCCACTTATCACCGGATTCAAAAGGCTTCCTAATTTTTCAAGAAGTGGGGGAGGGAGGCAGGCTGTTGGATGCAAAGTGAACACTGACCTGCACTGACCCCTTCTGGAAAGCACCAAAAAATGTACCATTGGAAACAAACCTGTACTGGTCCAGGGGGCGCATGTGGGAACTGCGTGACCTAATAGCTTTTTCCATCTCGATTTCTATGACTTTTAATCATGTTTGGTTGGAACAGCCTCAGCCTTCGCAAGCTATTTGCATGGGTAAGGCTCTGGAGCAGATATACATGTCATCCATTAGCATCCAACAGACCAGAAAAGGCCCAGAGGACCAGAAAAGTTTCTTTGTAGTTGGAAGCAGAAAAATAGTAATATGTTATAGGAAATAAGAAAAATAGCAGCACATATTCCATTTTTGAGACAAGAACAGAACACAAATTAGTATGAAAAGAAAAATGGAGCCTTACAGAACATCTACAGTTCAAAGCAGCTCAAACATGGGAATACCATTTCTTTGAGAACAGTCCCACAAATTCTCTAGAGGCCATAAGCAATTAGGACATAAGTCTCTCATCTAAAATACGATACTCCCTTGCTCCTGACCAGACCCACACTTGGGAGCGCAGGTTTAATTTTAATTCAAAAGGAAAAGGAGCCATTCTTCAATGGCGGGTGACATTCCATTCCATTCCTTGGAAACATCCAGTTCTGTCTAAACTGGACGACCCTCCGCAGTGCTGACAAATCACAGACCATGACTGAACCGACTTACAGAAAGAAAATCATTTTCTTTCCTCTCTCATGTATATAGACATAGTATTTTGGGCGATTTTTCTTTTTTTTCCAGAATACAAGGACTTGATGAAATAAACACATTCAAAAATTATCTGCAAGGAATCAGAAATATGTCAAATTTCCAAACTTGGAAAGAGATGATGGGCTTCGACTCAAATTGGCACACGCTTTGTTTGTCTCCTTGGGACTTGATGGTCTGCATTGCTAAGAGTTGTAGAAAATACTCAGAAGACAAAGAAAACATCTCAGGAGAAGAGACAATTCGCTCAACCCAGAGACTGCAGATTTTTAAGAAAGCAACTATTTTCTTTTTTTGCATTAAATTATGTGCCACTTAAATTCTTTTAGAGACAGCATTTGTTTGAAGGTGAGGCAAGCAAGCAGAGTACTCGCTGTATCTGAACTATCACCATGTTGCTCTTTCTGTCCAACCAAAAGCCATAGCGCTGCTTAAGTATCTTCGTCAAAAGTCCTATGGCATGGAGAAACTCTTGAAAACCCTAACCTTCTGTCTACATATCTTTACCATAGTGAGCCAGCACTGGTCTTACCAACTGTTGGTTTCTATCCCATGAAGAAATTGACCCCTTTAATTTTCCCCATAACAAGAGGCAAGGAAGCCAGCAGAAGAAATTGCATTTAATTTAAGCCACTGAATAAACTCTCCTGTCAGGTTGCTGCAGCCAAACTCGTTCCACTGGGATAAAACTCTATATATAAAGGAAAAAAGAGAAATAACAACTCGTAAAAATGTGACATCATTACATCACTGTGCCTAGCAATGTTCCTTTTCCTCATAAGGAAGTTATCCCTAGACTGGATGGCAGTAAATATTTAGTTTGGCTCTTCTGATTAAGCTTTTGGACAAGCTAAAGATCACCCTGCTTCTAGAAATCATTATATAGCATAATGCGGCGAGAAAGGAAGAGGTCTCTTCCGGCAAGCACTCTTACTCCATTTGTTCTCTGAATAACTGGGATGGCCCTATTTTCACTGCTTGGCATAGAGCTCAAGAGCCTGGACAGAAGCCCTGCCTTCATTCCCACTTCTTCGGAAAGTCCCAGAGTTTGAGTGTTTAAATCTGCCACAGAAAGAGATTTGCATTAATTTTCTGGTCTGGTGGCCCCTTCTGCAGGCTAACGGGATGGTGATACCACCTGAAGAACCTGTCCATTTTATCCAGGACCACACAAAGAAGTAAAAGGCCTAGTCCCACTGTCCCAGAGGGGCATACATTTCCACACTTTATTGTAACAAGAAGCAAGCGTAACAAACATGAGGAAGGAGGTAGAAGACATTCTGACACAGGAAGATCACATTTTATTTTACACTGTATTTTACATTTACATCACAACTTATATTTTATACTACATCACCTAGAAACTCAGAAAAATATACAGAACGTCTTACATGAACACTGTTGACCCTGAGGGAATAGAACGGCATTAATGTCCATCAATGCACGAGACTCCCAAGGGATTTTATCTCACTCCATTCGTTTTGCTTCCTGGATATTTTAAAGAGTTGAAGTGACAAAGAGAAAGCAAACAAACACACGGGGAAACCCCATGAATGATCTTTGCTATGGAGTACAGTTCAACTCAACCTCAAGTATGCTCTTCACGAAGACACAGTATTGCCATCTAAAACAAATGGTTCGCTGGCATCTGAAGTCCCAGCTATCTGATGCACCCCCTCCACCGGTAACTCCAGCCTACCCTCCACCAAAGGCAGGTGGAAGAAGCTAAAAGATAAGGCGTGCTAAGAAAGATGATGAGAAAAGTGATCTCGCAGCTGCCCGAGACCTGCCAAAGGCAAGTGATATTAAAACAAAAATGGGAAGCATCTAAACTAGACCAACTGGTCCACTACAAGAGTAAGCTTACAGCCTGGCAACATGCTGCTTCAAACCCTCACCTGCCAAATTACATGAGCCAGTGCGGGAACATGCACTGACCTCAGCATCCCTGGCAGATGCACGTGAAACAGGTAGATTTCAAATAAGCCTCTTCCCTGCACCCCACAGCCGGCCTGAGCCCAGAGCCCATCCAAAGAGAGAAGCCTCTCCACCACATGGTTTAAGCTAAACCACCCCTTCCTCTTCCTCTCACTGGAGACCCAGGAGAGACTTGGGAGCTGCGGCAGAAGTATAGTTCAGGCTTCCATCACATGAAGCCACATTGACCCTATCCCAAGCTAATACAAGCTCAAAAAAAAAAAAAAAAAACAAAAAACCCCAAAACAATCAACAAAATAAACCTGAAAAGCAAAATCTGTTCCCTCACAACTGACTGTACAATCAGAATACATTCAGCTACTGCACCTCCCTAGGACTTATCTCTTGCTCCTAGGAGCTGCTATAGCCTGGTGATTTAGGCTTCCTCCTAAGAAATGGGAGCTATGGATGCAAGCTCTTTCAGACTCAATTATGATTAACTATGGAGTACAGTTCAACTCAACCTCAAGTATGCTCTTCACGAAGACACAGTATTGCCATCTAAAACAAATGGTTCGCTGGCATCTGAAGTCCCAGCTATCTGATGCACCCCCTCCACCGGTAACTCCAGCCTACCCTCCACCAAAGGCAGGTGGAAGAAGCTAAAAGATAAGGCGTGCTAAGAAAGATGATGAGAAAAGTGATCTCGCAGCTGCCCGAGACCTGCCAAAGGCAAGTGATATTAAAACAAAAATGGGAAGCATCTAAACTAGACCAACTGGTCCACTACAAGAGTAAGCTTACAGCCTGGCAACATGCTGCTTCAAACCCTCACCTGCCAAATTACATGAGCCAGTGCGGGAACATGCACTGACCTCAGCATCCCTGGCAGATGCACGTGAAACAGGTAGATTTCAAATAAGCCTCTTCCCTGCACCCCACAGCCGGCCTGAGCCCAGAGCCCATCCAAAGAGAGAAGCCTCTCCACCACATGGTTTAAGCTAAACCACCCCTTCCTCTTCCTCTCACTGGAGACCCAGGAGAGACTTGGGAGCTGCGGCAGAAGTATAGTTCAGGCTTCCATCACATGAAGCCACATTGACCCTATCCCAAGCTAATACAAGCTCAAAAAAAAAAAAAAAAACAACAAACCCCAAACAAAACCCAACAACAACAAACCTTAAAACAAACAGCCAAACATACGGAAAAATAAGGAAAACCACCCCAGGGGGAAGATGTTGGGCAAAGCACTAGCAGCCCCCTCCTTCCCCTCAGGTGACAGGGACGGGGAAGAGGTGTAGGGGCGGTGGAAACGCGCATCAAAATGGCGGCGGCAGAGCCCGCCTTCCCGCCGGCGGAAGCGGGAGTGACGGCAGCGACGGCGACGGCAAGATGGCGGCGCCCAGTCTGCTGCGCGGGGGTTTGAGGCGGTTGTTCACCGGGCTTTTCGGAAACGGTTGGGCCTCGCCGCCGACCCGAGCCCTCCGGGAGGGTGAGTCCGGGTTGTGGGCCGGGGCCTGGGGCAGTCCGGGGGCCGGGGCGGTGCCTGGGGCTGCCCCGAGCCCTGTTGCCTCACCGCGGTCGGGAGAGACGGTTGCGTTCACTGTATTTCACCCTCCCCCGAAAAATACTGGGTTTTTTTTAGACTGATTGAGCCTTATTTCCCCCTCTTATTTCTTTCTTTTTTTTCCTTACAGTCGTGGAGGTGACTGAAGGCAAGACGACCACAGTAAGTCCCTGCACCCCTTTTCCTCAACAGTTGTCCTTGCCCTTGCCCTTGCCCTCACTTCTCCCTCTTTCTGCCGCCCGTTGTGAGGGTGTGTCCCTGTCTGTCGTCCTCGTCCCCCCACCCAAAGGAAAAAAAGAAAAAAAGGGGCAAAAAGGTCACTTTTCAGCCTGAAGGACATTCCAGGGTAGGAGGGCAAAACCAAGGCAGGACTGCGTTGTGAGCACGGGTAACCCAGGGGAGGGTTTGGCTGCTAAAGGTCAGGGTTGTCACCCTGCTCCGATGATGCACCCTGTTCCCAACCCCTCACTCTACCCCTGGTAAAGTTAGAAGCCGTGAGCCGAGGCATTCAGGACCCAAAATACAACAGACAGTTCTTCAGATGAGTTTGTTTTTTAAAGTAGTGACACTTGGCATCATCTCAAGCGTGGGCCGGTGCGAAGGAGGTTTGCCCGATGCCTTTGTCACTTCACCCTGGGCCGGCAACATGATGTGGATGGCTCTGTGCCGGCTGCATGCCACGCACGTCGCTTGCTGTTGATCTGTGTTGTGTTTGTTAATCACTGTGTGTGACATGGTGACTGCGGGTGGTACAGAGCTTGCATTTTGTAATGTATTTGGTGGGAGAAAAACTTTAAGTGAAAGGGGTGTCATCAAAGGAATACCTTAAATGCTAAAGGGAAAGTGCTGCTGAAAATAAAACAGAAGTTCTGAAGTAACTGATAAACAAAAGCGTTTTCACAGCTACAGTTTAAGACAGAAAAGGAACGACCAAAGCAGTAGGATTAGAATTTTACTGAATTAACACCATCAGATCCATTGCACTTTATCAAGAGAACTGTCATTTTTTAGAAGCAGCACTGAAATTACAAGGGGGCAAGGGGAGGTTGCATTATTCTGCACACATTATATATGCCAGTGTTAGTCTATGCCTTGGCTGGAGACAGGTAGAACAGATACTTGGAAACGTGTAAATATGATGAGGAGAGTGGAGCAGGAATTGTTGGGGGTTAGCTACAAGACAGTGCACTAAATGCTAATCTATATACACATAAATAATAAGGAGGGGACAGACTTTTTTGCTTGCTAATGAAGCAGACAAAACCTCATGGTGCATGCCTTTGAAAATCTGAATTTCCTTCTTGTATTTATATCAGCGGACCTTGTCATGTTTGAAAGCTGAATGGAGCAGGTTACTTATTTTTTAGATATGTAATATCAAATAGAATATAGCAGTTGGCAAGAACTCTCTTAAGACTGTCCACAAAAAAAAGTTCAAGGTGTGACAGTAGGTGTGATAGAAAGTCTCTCTTTCTTCTCTTCAAGTGCCAGACTACTAATCTTTGCCCAGAGACCTGAAAAGAAGAACTTGCAAGCATGCCCTGAAGTTGTCTTGACCACAACATTGTATACTGTGGATTGCCATACTTTGCACACAGTTTCGATGGGGATGTAAATTATAATCACAGGGTCCCAATACGTAAACTGAGGCTTGAAGTGAAAAAGATATGCATTGCAGTAGCAGAGCCCTTTGGAAAAATAATTCTTCATGGCCCATTGTAGAAGCATAAGGCAGATTTGGATAGTTCTACTGTATAATATCCTAGCATCAGTCTAGGATCTGTCAATGCAAGAGGAAAATCTTGTAACAAATGGTGTAAATTGACTCAGCTAAAGGGCTGATACATCTGGTCACTCCATTTATCCTACCAACTCTATATCAGTCTTTTCTGAATCCATCTTTCTGTGCTTATCTTTCTACATGTCCTTGCTTTTCTCGGTATTGAAGAAAGTGTTTGACGTGAACCAGACGAATGAATCCCAAAGAAATCTGGATTTCATTGGTATACTGGAATGTAGAGCCCCTGTATTCCCTTTTAGTTCTCTAACAGAAGAATAATAACTGAGTGTGTTAAGAATGTGAAAGTCCTCAGTAGTTGGGGAATAATTGCCAAAAACTCTGCACTGAAATTTATCTCAAGAAAAATTGATATTGGTGTAGCATTTTGAGTCTTTGTTCATTTCCAAGATGGAATTACGGCCAAAGTACAGTCTGAAGCTACACTGGCAAGAATCTAGACCAGATACACTGGCTTCCCAGAAAATAACTTTACCAAGTAGTAGAAAATTAGATACTAGCCTATATTTTATACTCACAGTTACTTTTTTCAGTTTTGTAACCAAATAAACTACTTGCAACTACTTTGCAACTACTTGTCAGGGGAGGAATTTTACTTTAAAATAGAAAATATTCTCTCTTTGAGGTACCCACATGCTTGAACTACAAATAGCTTGTCTGTTTCCATTTGCCATCACTAGACAAGAAATACACAAATCTATGGTATGCAATAGTTGTGCAGCTCAGCTGGATGCCAGTGTCCCATGCACGCTTACAGAAAATGCCATGCTTTTCTCTTCCCAGGTTTTCAGGCACACAACCTGATGGTTCAGTCTAAATCACTCAGCTTTTTTCTTAAAAGTAACATTGCATTCCACTCAGGGTGTCTTTTTAAACTCTTTGGGCTGTCAGTTGGTGTTCAAAATCTGGTTTTAATATAAATTTGACCGGAGGAAACTTCCAAAATATTTTGGAGAAAAAAAAAGGCTTAGCTATACTGTTTTTTCTATCCATTGAGTTGCAATTTGAGATAGCTTTTGCTTCTATTCATAAATCCTCAAAAAAAGACAAGTGCGCATGTAGATAGACTTCATATTCCTAACGTATCTACATTTAGAAAACAAATTTCTCAAGTTCTTCCCACACACACCTTCTACATCTCTTTGCATGTTACTTTTGAGAAAACTTGAGTGTTAAATGTCGCCACTTTGTAGTGATACAGAAAAGATTCTAAAATGATCTCTTAAAGGAATTGTTCAGGGAATTTTGATAAAATATGCAATATTGGGCTATTTAAAAAAAATGGGGGAGGAGGGAGAAGGAAAGAAAACCACAAACCCACAGACACCTCCTAACAGTCTTGTCTTAAATTTAACTTTTACTGAGAATTTTCCCTGGTGGTGATTTATAATGTCATAAGCCCCTTCATGTTATGGTCCACAATGTGCATCTTCTATTCTGTTACATTCTCTTATTCCCAGAAAAAATGTGTTTTGAAGCCTTTGGCAAGAGGGCCACTACAATTTTAAGGTATAATGGTTCAAAGGAATGCTGCAGTAAATGGAATTCAGGGGACTACGGGAACTTCACACTGACAGTGAACTAGTTTACATTTAATACAGCATATTCAAGATTTTAGTAAATGGTTCTCTGTGTCCCTTGGATTTGTTCTTTTCCCCGTAGTCTGTGTATATCCAAAGTGCTTGGTATATCTATATAGAAGCGAGTTGAATAATGCAGATCCTGTTCCCCTTACATCTGTGCACTACTGGTCAACACGTTGTAGACTTGATGAAAAGTATTCCTCAAGTCACAGGTGCAGATAGAGGTCTGAGCTATGCCTGATGATTATATCCTTTCAATTGTGTCCTAGATTGAAGGGAGAATTATAGAGGATGCTGAAACACCAACTCCTCCAAACCCCTCTGGCCAGTGTCCCATCTGTCGCTGGAACCTGAAGCATAAGTACAATTATGTGGTAAGTTTAATAAAGGAGAGTTTCCCCATCCTCACAGCTAGATGAATGTTGCTCTCAGATCCACATACTGCACAACCTGCCCCTCTCATCTTTTGCTGGGTGTAGTAAAGATAGTTAACTCCATCTCTGCTTCTCTTTGGTATAACAATAGTACGTTGTAATTGTTTGCCTTGGCTGATGGTGTTCTTGGGGAAAAAGAAGGATGAGCTTATATCAAACAGGACATTTGGAATTATACTCATGGCTGTTTGATTTGAGAAGGCTTTTGTGTCCAGTGGCTATTCAGCATTGTGCTTCCAGGAGAATCAAACTGGAATGCAGCATTTAGTCTACTGATTCAGGCCTGTTCTAACTCATTGGGTCATTGTCCACTAAGGTAATTACCATTTTATCTAACTTTTAAAACTCTTGATGGGTATGGAGGAGAACATACGTGTTTACATCCCTTGCAACAGACAAAATAGGTTTGACTCATGCTTTTTCCAGGAAATGCCAATGAGAAGTTTATTAACTAATGAGGGGTTTACTAACACTAAATGTAGAAGATAGGAGGGAAATCCTGTAGTACTGTAAAACAAAAGCACAACAGGCAAGAACACTTTAGAATAAGTGTGAGATAGAAGATGCAGAATGTAACTTTACAAGAGGTCATTTAAACACAGAGTTTACAAAAGGACTAAGCGCCCATCTTGCAAACTAAAAACCCTGTACTGGAATTAGAAAAGAAGAAAACCAGACTGGAACATGCTGTTATTAAGATAAAGCAACAGAAAACTCAGAATAAGTTAATGCCAATAGGATTAGGGCGAGAGAGATACAAATGCATCTGGAGGAAAAGAAATCTTTGTGAGAAAGAAAGTCCATTAAGACTTAAGAGGAGAAGGGGACCACAAGCCATACTAGGTGCAGAATGACTAAGCTGCTTGCATGAAGTCCTAGCGCACACACAAAAGAAAAATCATGTTTTAATATCTAGGTAGTAATAGCAATCTTGTAAACATAAAACAACAAGAAAAGAACAGGTCCAGAAATAACTTAGGCATTGAACTAGGTACAGACCAGCAGGCGTGGATTGCATGTAGTCCCAAGATCTGAAGGGAATTAGTCAACAAATATATTACTTCACTTGCAGGATTTTTTTTAAGTGTGAAAAAAATCCTAAGGAATCACCAAATGGTTTGAAAATAGCAAGTGAAAAACTAAATAGTTGAGAGAGGAAGGAGAATGATGCTGATGATATCACTTGGTAAATCAAACATTGCAAATTTCCAAATAAAATAGTATCAACCAGGAGTAAAAACAAATAACCTGTTGGATAGGACTAATTATGACTCACAAATTATGAAGAACATGAGTACAGAAATAGTGCCAGACAAAATACACGCAACTACTCCAGGCAGGTGAAACAGATGTGAGATGTAAATGAAATATCAGTTTAGTGTGTTTCAATGCCTGTGTTGCATTAAGTTGTCTAGGATCTGAATGTTATCAGTGGTTCTCACTCAGGCTGGACGCAGTAATAAACATTGAAATAAGTTGGGGAAGGGAAATATTTAGCATTCTCTGGTCTGATTTCTCAACAATCTGGGAAAGCTAACAATACAGTGAGTTCGCAGATGATAATAAATTAGGACAAATTTCAAATACCATTAACGTATGGAAAACTACAAAAACAGATCGTGTTTGTTTTGTGTTGCCCATGTTTGAATGCAGTGATTTCTTGTAACTGTTTGCTTCTTCATGTTTGCTAAATTGCGTTGTGATCAAAACAGATCAATCACACTGGAAAATACTTTCTTAAGGTTAATAGAGTTTTATGTGCCTTTTAAATCTGAGGAGTCAACAGCATCATTAAACTGGATAGTTCTACAGATTTCCAGAAAGCTTTCCATGAGTCACACGTTAACAGTTCCAGAGAAACTATAAACAGATGCTCAGGGATAAAATGAGCCCTGGGAGCAGATTAAATTTTGGAAATTAATATGTAGACTTACTTTCTGCTGTTGTCTGTGGAAGAAAACTGTAGTTTGTAGAGATGGCAGTGTTATCAAGAACCAAAGAAGCAATATGATGCTGTAAAGCCTGAGTTCCAGGATAAGAAGTAGGCTGTTTGTCCCAACAATGTAAAGTGGGATTCATAGGTGTGTTTGTAGAGTGAACTAAGCTTACAGGTTTTCTTCCACACTTCAATTAAGTTTGATTCTTAGATCCTAATTCCTACTGTTCAGTATGGAGGCAGGAGAAGAACAATGTGAGGGGAGATCCTGCAGCCAGAGTCTTGAGAATCATTGCTGAGATCATTCCTAAGAAATTGTGATCCCAGGAGACAAACTATGAACTTGTCCATCCTGTCTATCATCCTAGTTTTTGAATGCATGTGCATTTGGCATATATATGTCCACTACTCCTGCTGTAGAAGAGAACCTGAACAAAAAGCTAAAGAGGACAGTGTGAACTGGTATTTCAGAATTGCAGAAGCTTCTTACCTCAGTATTTAGAAGCATTCCTCTGTGGGGCCGATGAGAACTAGGAGAAGTTTCAGTTCTGGGGTAGACCGCCTCTTCTGCTTGAATAAATCCCTTACATGTTTGAATGCTTTGTACCAGTCATGGATTTTCAGGCTTTTAAATGTTAAGGTGAATGAAATCTCCCTTTTCTGCACATAAGCGCTCCTTGCTATCTTTCTTTGTTGCAGCAGTGATGTGTAGCAGAATCTATAAATACTTAAAGTGCAGGCATTTAACTATGTGAGTAATTAAACAGTGGCACAATTTACTCACTGGTAGTTAATTGTCCTAAAAGTCTGTAAATTGAGAACGACTATTTTTGTTAAAGATACAGCCTAGTTCATACAGCATAACCTATAATCTGTGCTTGGTAAGAGATCAGAATAGATGGATCACAGTAGTTCCTTTGAGATTGATAAGCTGAGATCAGTCAGTTGCACAGAAGGGAAAGTGTGAGCTTTTTTGCTTGGGATGCTTGTAATTGGACTGAATGAGGCACTATGAAAAGGGAAGTGTTGAATTAGCCCCCGAGGGAGCTGAGTAATATGACCTCATAGGACTTTCCTTTTGTCATGTGCAACTAGCACAGTCTAAAGTAGTGGCATAATGAGTTACTTTGGCTGTCAGAGAACTGGGGGACCAATGTCTCCAAAGTTATTAATCAACCGAACAGGCATTGTGAGCACTAGCAGGTCATGATTCCAACCTGCCTCAGCTGTGGTGTGGAGGGCTGTAGTTGTCTTTGCCAGTTCAATTCTTAGTCTCTGCTGAGGCTCAGGATAACAGAGCCTAGGGTATAAATCCCTCCAATTTGTGGTCTGTGTCTGTCTGTCCATTGAAACTTAGACCTCAGTTGATTTTTTTTTTCGTATCCATTGGAGATAAAAAAAAATTTGTTTGGTCATTGTCAGGATGCAACTGGATTGAAACCTGCAATGCTGTTATGAAATGCCTGGAGAATGGTGTATAGCTCCCAGGAGTAAGGGAGAAAGGAAAAGCTAGACTCTTGTATAACTGGAAATAACGACTGGCAAACTTATCTGATACAGCCCAGTAGTAACTTGGCTACACAGACAGAACTCTTCTTGTGGTAAATGAAAGTTTTTAATGAATCGCATATCAAATATTCTGCATTTCAATGTGTCTGCAGACATTAAAATGCAGAGATGCCTCTGCATTCTGGTTGCCATCCATTCACAAGAACATGCTGTACATAGTGTTTCGTTTATCCAGCCCTTTATCCAGCCCTTTTAGAGGTGAAGGCTAAGCAAGTTTATCCAGCCCTTTTAGAGGTGAAGGCTAAACTTGTTTTTCGTTTTCCCCCTTATCCACTTCAAACATCATTAGTCTGAGTAGGCAGTAAATATGTCATCTTGCTTTGGCAGCAATTAGGGGAAACCAAACTGCAAGCTTTGCCTATTAGCCCTAGATTAATTCAATCCAAGTTGTTTTCATCAAATGCTGCAGATTACAGGGGTGGGAATCTGGATCCAGCCTCGTGGGAGCTGTCCAGTGATTAAAGCAAATCCGTGGTTACAGGCTTGGCTGTCCACTAGCACAAAATGTGAATTTCATGGAACATGACGGCACCATGAGAACTTGCCAGACATATTTTTTGCTTTGACCGCTCCACATACTTGTTCGCTTCCCTCCACAGCTGCCCATAAAGTTGGCTGTACCTGTCTGCTTTCTCCCTGTGGTAAGATGCATCTGTGCGAGTAATCTGGGAGAGGCACCTGGCCTCTTAACTGTGAGGATCTTCAGAAATGGACAAACCTTCTGTTGCATTTGCAGCATTTTAAGATAAACAGCGTGAGCGTAATTTAGAGCTACAGCACAGACATAGATGATTTCAGTTGAAAAATGATGGCCACACAAGGGTGTTGGTCAGTTGGTGACACTGTTGGTCAGAGATGATAACAGAGAACAGATTTTCCTGATTCTTTTTCCACAGGGGAAAAAAAGAAAGACTATTTTGCTTTGCTTCCCACCTCCCCCCTTTACATGGAAACACTTGATAACAAGCCTGTGACTCCATGAGGCGTGGTGGTAATACGAGAAATCACTTGGACCACACACACCCTTCACAAGAGCCTGTGGCCTACTTAGGCTTTTGCGGCTGCAAAGACTGGAACAGCCTCAAACTTGCCATCAGCTCCCTTTTTCCTCTTCCCCGCAGAGTAACGCAGCAGGCTAGTAGAAACGTCTAGAAAGTTTTTTCTCTTTCTAGGCACTTGGAGCTGGACAACCCCTTTTCACTTAGAGAAGTGGTATGTTTGTGCTAAATGGCAAATTGAGCTGTTGGTGATGTGAGAACTGGTTGGCTAAAGAAGAGGAAAAAGAGGGATGGAGTCTTGCTCTTGTTTCCTGAATTCAACCCAGTGCATTTCAGAAGTGGCCAAAAGTCGGTGCCCTTGGACTGTTCGGCTGGCCTCCGTCCAGTTTCCACCAACGCAGCTGGCACCAACTGGTCCCTTGGTTACTGTTCTCATTGGCAAGGCCATGTGTTAGCTGGGCTGAGGACCCTTCACTTCCGTTTTAACCATAGATGGCCTTCAAGGAGCTTGATTCTAGTTGCTCAGCTGTGCTTTTGGATACCACTTCACTCTGTATGCCAGTTGATAAGTCATTTTCTGTCAGTGAGAAGTTGCCCAACCTGCTGTGTTTTCAAAGGAACTGGATCTGAACATCAGTCTCAACACGTAATTGTAGACAAGCGGAGGTAGAAAGCAAGCCAGATAAGGGAAGAGGGAAATTGTGTGTCGTGATGATAATGATGGTGAGGTTGAAGGTGGGGAAGGAGGAAGGACAAAAACAAACCACAAAACAAACAGAAAAACTCAAAACTTTGACTGTAACACTTGTATGACAACATCTCTCTGAATCAGCCATTACCAGAAATGGCTGGTTACCATACTGAATTCCAGCAGCCTCCTTTAGAGCTGAGCTGCTGGATGTGTAATTCCTAGATAGCTAGGTTTTCTGAATATGCATTTTATATTCACTTGTTCGCTTTTGCAAGGGCGGTAAATGAAGCTAGGAATGCTCCAGGGAGCTCTTTGTAAAAGAGCAAAGATGGAGGGAGTGGGAGCAGGTCTGCAAATCTGTGAACAACAGGCAGAGTCAGGGTCACCCAATGTGAAAAACAACAAGTACTCTTTGTTCTCGCCTGTTGCCCTAGACAGAGGGGGTTGTACAGTGCTGACGTACCTGGTTTGAATTCTTGTTCTGACGGGGCGCTCACTGGCAGGTCCCTTCCAGCCTGCAGGCACCCTCCACGTGGTCCAGCTACCCCAACTATGAACGTGTTTACAACAGCGGTGGAGAAGTAAACTCTCAACCAGCAACAATCAACAGATGAGGGAAAAAAACAAGCACAGAGCCTCCAGAGGCCCTTTGGGCCAACTTATGCTCACGTCAGCATGTCAAGGGGGCCTGCCTATATTGCCCTGAGGGGTACATTTGCAGTGGTGCTATGTGTGGAAACAGAGAGCACGTATCCAAGTACTGGGCTGTTGTGCTGTGTACAGTTAATGGGACATTCATGCAACAGCTGTTGCTGCTGTGTTTAAAAATTTGTCATCCCAGCTCCGTGATACTATCTGATCCTAGAGATCCCCTTAATTTTGTTTTTATTAAGAATGCTTTACATTTCTAGAGCTTTTTATTGGAAAGGTCAACAGCAGTGTAATCTAAATGATTCTTGAATCACAGGCAAACCCTCAGCATGCTCTGAGTGCTCCTTCCATCCAGTGTGGCTGTAACAGCCCCACCTCATACACACACAAAGGACTGAAGACAGCAATTTATCCTAATAGGTCTTTCTCATTAGCACATGTTCTTTTCTTACAATAAGCTTCTTCGTGCAAGATCTTGGACCATTTCCCTGCTCTCCACTCCTCCAGAGAGACAAGAGGGAAGTTCCACCATGGGAAACTGGATAAAATTTGAGGAGTAGATAGCAGAGAACAATCATGCTCTGAGGGAACAAGGAGGGGGCCAGAGGTGATCTAACATATCTGTGACCTTTAGGATAGCAGCTGTGGTGGCATTTCAAGTTGTGTAAACACTGTCCATCTGCAGGTCTTGTGTAACTGTGTCTGAGTACCTAGGACACATTATCTTAGCTAAAATCTTGGAGCAAGCGACAGTGAAGTAGCAGGGATTGGAGCTGACATCATGTGTTTACACTAGTGAAGTCAGAGGAAGACTCAGACCATCTGAGTGACCTTACTGAGCTAAGCTGGCAGGCAGAGTGACAGCAAGCAAAAGCCACTTGTTGTCAAGCTGCAGCCAAAATGCACAGGAAGGAATCATTGTTTTCTTTTGAGTTCTGTACACAGCGCGAGGGTCAGCACGACACCTAAGAATCACAGCAGTTAAAGTAGCCGTAGCACTGATGGTTTTGCCCTTCTCTTGCTCCCTCAGGACGTCTTGCTGCTGAGTCAGTTTATCCGTTCTGATGGAGGGATGCTGCCACGAAGGATCACAGGCCTCTGTTTGGAGGAGCACAAGAAGGTTGCTGTCTGTGTGCAGATGGCTCACCGTGCAGGTACCTAGTTTCCTTCTGAGAACAAGCCCTTACTGTTGGCTACCCACAGAACCCCTTGAGAGGAGTGTCCTGCCCAATTAGCATAGATCATGGAGATGTTGTTGGCCGGTCACCCAGCAAACTCATTATGGTTCTAATGCTGGGACAGGATGATGGACCAGAGACTACTTATTCTGCTTTATATATGTCTTGGCTCCTGCCTTGGCAGGAGATGCTTATCCCTGTAGATGAGTCTACTGTTGCAGAAAGATCTGGGAAGTGTCTCGGTCTCTAGTAACTGATGATTAAATACCGGCTTCTGAAATTACTTGATTTAGCATAAACTTGACCTACCCTGTTAATAACATGCACCTGCCATCTGCCATGTGAAGACTTTTTTGCTTTCCCTGGGAGTGGAACCCAGGTTTGACAAAGTATTTTGCTGATCTTTATGCCTGGTTCATGAGTTGTATCCAAGTTAAATGGACTGAGAATTTTAATAGTCAGATTTTCATCTGGAGATGGAATCTAATTGGACAACAGTGCCCTCTGTCCTCTCAAAAAGCCTCTTCGGTGAAACCAAGTGGCTGTGTCTTTGGTGTGTACAGCAGAACCTCTTAGCTTCTCCTTGGTGGGTGGGCAGGTTCAGCAATGAGTGTACTTGAGTTTTTGCTGTGCTGTCCCAGCAGGGACATGGGTTGCCTGGCTTACAAAGTGTAACGTAACTTTTGGATGCTATAGAGGCAAGGAGGCACAGCAAAATATTCTCATGCTTTTCTTTTTCTGTTTCAGGTTTGTTGCCAAACCACAGGCCTCCACTTCCTGAAGGGCATATTCCCAAGAAACCCAAGCTCAACAGGTGAATAGTCTTGTCTTTCCACATCTCTCTTTTTCAGGAATAGACTGGAACAGGAAAAGCAGTTCCTTATAACTGGGTAAAATACGCTTTGGGCAACAGGGCTTATAAAGAGGACTCAGCATTTCGAAGCAGGAAGGTCTGTCATGATACTCTCCTGTCAAGTCTTTTAAGGACAAACCAGATCTCATTCAAACCATTTATCCACACAGGATTAAAACATGTTAGAGTCTGTCCTCCCTTCCTCAGCTGCACTTGCCTCCTCATCACTAGCACTCAGTAGGGCTGTCACAGGAGGATGCCACAGAGATGCAGTAGCATAACAGAGTAGTTAAGGTTGGAAGGGGTCTCTGAAAATTGTCTAGTCCAAGCCCCCTGCTCAGGCAGGTTACCCAGGGCTATGTTTTGAGTATCTCCAAGGATGGACCTTACACGGTTTCTCTGGGCAGCTTGTTTCAGAGAACCACCCACAGTGTTTTCTTACATTCAGACAGAATTTCTTGTGTTTTAATTTGTTCCCATTGCCTCTTGTCCTGTCACTGGGCACCACTGGGAAGAACCTCTTCACTCCTTGCCTTCAGGTATTTATAAACATTGTTAAGACCCTCCCTCAGTCTCCAGGCTGAGCAGTCCCTTCTTTCTTAGCCTTTTGGTGCCTGCCCCCCAACAGGAGAGTGCCCAGGAGGAGTACCAAAAGTGAGCAGGGGACTGAGCAGCCAGCAAGGGCCCATCACAAGCCTGTTCCTCTCTCCCCTAGCCCCATTTCCCCCAGCCAGCGATTCGCCCTCAGCTTGCCCTTCCTGTTCAACAGGGTCTCTTCCCCCTCCCTGGCCTGAGTGGCCCCTGGCCTTTGGTGGGCGAAGGAAAAGCCTGCAGCCGCCTCCTGCACTGTGCTGGGCGCTCGGAGGTGCTAATCCCCTGTTTATGACCTCACACTCTGTTTCCATGGGGATGTCAGAGCGGTTTATGAACCTCGCATTAGCAAGCCGTGGGGTTACCAGAGGCCATGGGGCTGTTGCTGGGAGAGCTTAGGCTGCAGGGCTGGGGGCGGCCAAACACTCCTGCATTTCGGGTCTGACTCTGCAGTGGAGATTTGAGGCAAGTTCTTGGAAATAACCGCTTTGATACTGGCAGGCTGCATGCTTGGTATCCGTGAGGATCAAATTAGAGCATTCTACATTTGATGCAGCCCTGTAGCCATCAGGTACAATTCTGAAAATGGCTTCCTTCCTATGTCTTACAAGTCTTTGGGATTCTTTAGTAGCTGTGTCTAACTAGCAGCTGTGGGGTGGAGCACATTATCTAGTCAGCATTCACATAGCAACTCTGCATAGCAGGTTGAGACAGGAAATGGTAAATCCTATATCTCGCTGGAAACACACCAGGACTCCAGATCTAATGCCTCAATACATATAAATTGTTCCATAGATTTTTAGGGAGAACAAAGAACAGATACCTTCGGATACATTCTACATGAAAGTAGGTGTGCTACAGCTCTAAAATTAAGAGATCTAAATCGCAGATTAGTACCCAAGCCCTTCCTATTGCATTGCTTATTCCCTCCCTACACCACCCTTGTTTTTCTCCTCTCACCAAGGGAACGTAGCAGGGTGGAAGCAGAGTTTAGAAAAAGAGAGCAGAGCTATTCCTGAGGAGGTGGAACAGCACTGAAATAGCAGATTTTGGGTTCTGGGTGGAGACAAGAGAATGAAATAAAGAAGTCAGATTGAAAGTTGTGGTAGTGGGGCTGGAACTAAACAAGTGAGTCCAGAGCCAGGATAGTGTGCAGGGGTACTTCAGGAGTGCTCCCTTGATCCTTCACAGTATTATCTTCTCAGCCTGCTGGAAGGGGAAAGCTCTGTGTGTTGGAGCCATGTGAAATCTTGGCCATTGTACTTCTGTGAGAGTTCTGACTGTGTGTACCTCCACCTGTGCTTCCTGCATTGCTCTCTGGAACAGTGGCTGGCACCACATAAGGCAAGAGAGATAAATTGCTTCCTTCCTCTAGCCTGAAGGGAGGACTGAAGGGTACCCGCATGCTGAAGACATGCGACCAGTACTTAATTTAGGAATGAAGCCAGAGCTCTTATCACAAGTTTCCCACAAAAATGAATTGTTCAAGCTTACCTTTTCTTTGCCCCTGTACTTGTTTCTGAAGCTTTATGTAAGTCTGTAGTAATTTGGGAAGCGCTCAACCAGTGGTGCTGCCAAATGCAAGTGAGCTGGCAGGGGAAGACAGGGGCAGAATTGGGCTGGGACTTTTGAGTGGAACAAGCTGCCTTGTTCAGTGCCATAAGAACACAACAGATCATCCTCTAATCCTGTCTAGTGTGTAATATCAGGGCTGTGCGCTAACTTAGTCTGTCCTTTCACTGCGTTTGTGTTTGCTGGATTTTTAAGTATCAGTCTATGAAGGGATGAACAGGATGTACAGAGAACCTGTCATAGCAGACAGTACATCACACAGTTAAGTGATGTTTTCCAAATCCTCGAGCTTCATCTTTTCTTGAGATCACTGTATTCGCTGCTCTAGTCGTCTTCACCTGCCTGCTTAAATGAGAGGTAACAGTGCCTTTTTGCACTGCTGCTGTAGCCCTGGGAATGCCAGTGCAGAGAAACTGAGGTGCTTCATAATATGCTTGGGTCCCTTGTTAAATGTCTTCCAAGACAAGAACACAGGTAATGTACAGTCCATAACATCAGTGTAAACCAGTCCTTGTGCTCTACAGCTCTGCCTGCAGTGATGGCTTTTTTCCATCCTCCACCAGTGGGTCTACTCTGAGTGTGATGTTGAAATACGCTTTTCTGCACCCCATCCCCACCAAAGTAACCCTCACCAGCCACACTTCAGAAGCAGACTGAAGCGCGCATGTTGTAGATGCTGGAGCTATGGAATTGCCATCAGCTGCTTGAGGGACCTTTAACCTGATCTGTGAAGTAACCAGGGATCCTGGCACAGCAGCTTGCCCATTGCTGTGCATTGATGGTGAAAGGTGAAAGAGGCATCACTTTCTTGGCTCTTCAGCAGTGTGGTCCTCCTTGGTCAAAAGAAAGTAGTCATGCGGAAACAAGCCAGCAAACAGATGGAGACAAACTTGCATCAGGGCTGGAAGCTGAGATGGGTAGTTCTCACAGGTGGGCTAGTAGTATCCAGTAAACTGAGAATTTAGTCCATTCCCAGTTACGTGTCCTCCATTCCTGCTGTCTCTCCTTGGTGCTCATCTCCACTTACTCTGTTGCCATCAGGAGCTTGCATTGCACATGGAAGAAAGCTTAGCATACAGAAGACACAGTTCCTGCTACACTGTTCTAAAATAGGAAGTTGCAAAATGAAAAGAATAGACAGAGCACAAGAGGTGTATAGTAATAAGCTTTGCCCTGCTGAAGGACAGCATTTCTCTCTTATCTGTACTTTTGTGTGCTCACCCCTTCTGCCCTGAAATTCCTCTCATTGCCCCCCTGTAAGCAGTCTGTTGTCTAACTCTTCACTCTGAATTGAGAAATCTTTCACTCTTTTTAGAGGAGGGACTTCTGAGAAGTCATTCTCTACTCCAGATGTTACCCCACATACTTCCATGAGAACTGCCATCTGAGGACAGAAAATCTTACACTGAGTGGAAGAATGTTTTTCTGATGGTAAAGCTCTTGACATTAGTCTACACCATCAGCTGCTAGAGTGATAGGACTGAAAAGAAAGCCTAAGAGAACCTTAGGGATTGATTCCACTCATACCTCCTGAGATCAAAGAAGATTGATTCTGGGGAGTGTAACTTGAAGTGGGAGTGGGAGCGGGAGCCCAGCACCCCTACCATAATACAGACCTAAGCATTTGCTTACTGTGTGTAGACTTTGTGGATGTTCAGTAGACTCAGAGCAGCAACCCCTGCCTGGCAGAAACCTGGCTGCTTACTCCATTTGGATGAGCAATCCCTTTCATTTCTCTCCAGTCTTACAAAGTTCTGGTTGATGCTCCCTTTGGTCAGGCTTCTTCCAAGGTTGTGTCAGTATTTTTTGAGAGCAGCTTCATCTGCTGCCAGAAGAGGGACAAATCAGCCTGATGAAAAGCTGCTTTGTCTCTGCCCTTTGCCCCTGAGGTGATGTACAGGCCAGCTGCATAGGAGGAGCTCTATGGCTCCTGGGCAAAAGTGCTAAGGAAGTACGTAAAGAAGGGCTAAGGAGTTGTGTTAATGTATACTTTTGAGAGCACCAGAAAAGCTGCTCCTCAGCTTTTCCTTGACTGTACTTGTGGCTATCTTGGCCAGAATGTTTAGGCTGTGTGAGGGTCACCTTGCTTAAAGTGAGCCTGCTTCAAATACAAAGTGTCTGGCATGCACCAGCTATCACCTGTGGAGATTAAAATGTAACATTCCACCATATGGAACCATCAGCAACCTGCCTTGTTTTAACAAGGGTCAGGGGTGCTGCCTTGCTGTTGACCGAGTGATGCAAAGTATGGATTTATCATCCAGAACCCTTCTGCCTTCTCTGCCCCTCCAGAAGGTGCTCTTCTGGTGCTTACTTGATGTTTTCCAAAAAGCAGAATCCCTGCTGTATTTTCTGAGGTGGTTAAATCTGGGGCACGTAGAAGGGAATGTCCAAAGTTCACACAATGGAGACACAATAAAACCACTGCTACTGATCCTGTTTCTGCTACTGGATTGCAAGAGGCAGAGCAGAATGCTTTGGGAAGTTGTGGGCTGCAGATCCTGCCTGGTTCTTGGTCATTCAGCTGTCTAGCACACTATAGGATCACCCATCCAGCATGTAATGTAATGTAGAGGAGGAGATTGGGAACTGCAGAAGAAGGTATAACATGAAAGTGAAAAGGCCAGATTGAGCCAAACTGTGGTCATGGGGGTGGTAGGAAACATGTGAGAACACCTTGTGGTCAGAATTCAACTGGGGAGCCCTCCACAGCTCTCTTTTCTTCCCCCTGCAGTTGGGACACTGTCTAGGTGCGACTTAATATGGTATTTTTCATTTCTTGGACTTCAGTTCTTTGCCTTCTTGCTTTCTGCCTGATCTGTTTTTGACAGCAATAGCTCATGAATGTTATCACTTAACTGCTTTACTAGTTACGGATGCTTTTGCAGCAATATGGCTATTGGAGTACCCATGCTGTCCTTAAGCTCTTGAGTCTACCGTCCTCCCCCTCTCTTTCATATCACTTGTCTGCAGAACTTGGACGTGGAAAAACAATGAAGTTTACCCCTGTCAATGCAGAATTACTCCCTACAGTTAATTTTCTCATGTTTGGCCCAGTCTGGGGCTTTCAGTGTTTCCAAGGGATGATTCCACAAGCAAATTTGCCTTGCAGCCAAGGATTGTTCCCTCATCCTCAGCCTGAATTCTCCCTTTCATAACTTCCTGCTGTTATTTCTGCATCCGTTTGTGCTTCAGCCTGGCATGTTCCAGTTAAGTGCTACAGAAACAAAATATTTTCACTAGCCCATGAGGCCAAGGAAGTTCTCAGGGATTTCACCAGCACCATGCAGAGTGACAGACTGTTCTCGTATTCCAAAGCCGTGTGTGTAACGCCACCACACACCAGAACGATTTGGGAAACTGTCAAGCACAGCTGCGGGTCAAACTTCTATGCTTGCTTTCAGGAATGGAAACCTGAATAGCTCAGCAGTTTTCTTTCCAGCATGAAGGTTGTTGCATGGATAGCGTGGACTAACACTCTGTCCAGAACAGTCAGTCAGTTCAGGCCAGCATCTAGATGCTGTCATAATATGAATATAGCACTGATTTTCTTTTGGCAGGTCCAAAGTATTGGTTAAAGCACAATAGTGAAGTTGTTCCCTTTCCAAAAGGTCTGAGGGATGTCACAGGTTCCCTGTGTCTGGGCTCTGTGAGCAAGAGGTGCTGTACATCATGGAGTGCATGATTTTGAGTGCTCAGCTGCCACTCCATTTTCAACTTTCTACTGGAAGAACAGAACTTGGCACAGATAATATCCAAGTCAATCCCTCCTCCATCACCTGAACTGAAGAAGTTGCTATGTGTTAGGAAAGAGGCAGGTTCCATGTGAATTTCTCGTGAGTTACAAAGTTCTCAGGCTCTGTGGACACCTTTCATCCCTGGAAGCAGAATCTGGTTTCACTGCTATCAGCATGTCACTCCAGCAGCATGTGGTTTCTCTCATCTGGATGGAACTGTGCTGTGCGTAGCACACAAATTCAAAAGCAAAGAGCCAGAGTGGCTGCAGGTGAGCAAAGCCAAGAGGTGTCATGGGAAGGGATGTGGCAGGGAGGAAGCAGTCTTGCCAGCACTTTGATCGAGTGCTTCCTGCAGGCTGTAGCCCTCTGCCTTCTGCTCTTAATCCAAACAACAGACAGATTGAAAAAGTTCTGTGAGGGTTCAGAAGTTCAGCCTTGAACTGCACCAACATGGCCTTTGCTTGGGCTGCGTGCAGGACTAGTTGCCCCATGGGTAGGTCATTTCCCTTCCCCAGCACATGGAAGCCCTGTGCCTACTCCTAGGTGTTTAGCGGCAGCCTCTGAGTGGGAAGGCCTGCTCACTGAATAAAATCCACGGAAACAGACTTCCATGTGCTACAGAGATTTTAGGCGAGTGCAAGGACTGCAGGTGACTAACCGCAGTTCTTTCCATCCTGTTTATGTCTGGCCTTTCCCATCAGGGGAATCACGTCAGGGTTCCCATCGTGCTTTATCCAAACTAGTCATTTGTGCAGCTGGAGTCTAGGGATTCTTGATGTTGACCAGGATCCTACCGTACTCAAGAGGGCAAGCAGAGCCCCGTGGTGAGTTGCCAGTCCCCAAATCAGCAGTTCTGTCCCGCTTTGTCCAGGGTGAGAGCTTTGCACACTGAGATAACAGGTTAGGAGGCTGCGGACCAGCTGCATTTGGCATCCATGTGGAGCCTCTGTCCTGACAACCCTCAACTAGTTGAGAAAATTCAGACCATCTGCCAGTGTGTGTTTGTACATTATTGTAAAAACTCCTCAAGACAAACTGTGTGGTTGGATACAATGGAAAGTTGGGTGACTTGGCTAGAAAAGCGGGTATGCTACCTTAAATGCAGAAAAGTCCTCTGTGCTGGGCTTTGAAGCTCTCGCCTGTGAGTTTTGTGGATTGTCCTTACTCTCAGGAAAAGAAAAAAAAAATTTTGTGAAACAGTAGGAACTGGGGTTAGTCAAAGAGGAAAAGGAACTTTGTAGAGTGGCTGCTCCCAGGCATCAGGCTTTTGCCACTGCTGAATCAAGGTAAAAAAAAAAAAAAAAAAGGCAGCAAACAAAATAGGACAAGTTTGAGTTTGGGACAAAGCAAGTATTAAAAGCGCTAAAAGCAAATGTGCTCCAGGAAGGGAAAGCGTCCAAATGTCTGTTTCAGCTAACAATGAAAAGCCCCAGCCTGCAGTCCCCAAAGGAAGCCAAAAGCCTGGACCAGAGGGCTGGATTAGACCTGCTCAAAAGAGAAATAACAAAAGCTTTAAAATCAGGCCATTACTAAATCCTCCTTCCTATGCAGAATTGGGGTGTGCACTTCCAGCCCCCACACAGAAACAGAGGGATTTCTTAAAAAGCCACTGTCTGTCTAAACCTGCACACAGCATTGATGTGTATCTCACATTCACACATTCACTCCTCTCCCAGTGAGATCATTTATTATCACGGGAGCACTTTCCCGTAATCATGTGGACACGTGACCAGAACTGCTGCATTAAAACAGTTTGGGATTTTTTTTTCCTCCTTCGCTGTAAGCACAGTCTTGCAATATCAAAACTTGTGCTACAGACCTCCCCTGCAGCAAAGGGAATGTGAAAAGAAGGACTTGACCTTGTGTGCCCATCAAATACCCCTACAGCTTCTCCCAAAGGAGCTGCTTTGCCACAGTTCTTTGCCAGATTCTGAACTGTGGACCTGTGTTTGGACTCTCTGAACTCCCTTTGCATGGAAATTAGAGACAGGAGAGTCTCTCCTACTTCCTGTCCTGATGCTGTTATGTAAGGGATTCCACTAATGCACTAGCATAACATTAAAGGTCAGAAGAGACCAATTTAATGCACACACAGGAGAAAAAAGTGGCTGGATCTTGCTCTGCACCGTCTCCCAAATCCCTCTTGCTTGTTGCTTCTAGATGTCTTAACTATCATAAACTCATCAAAGCGAAAGTAAAGCATTTTGAAAGTGGCTTCATGTTAGTGGCACGAACCTCCAAATGTGATTATTTTTTCACTTTATGCTGTTTGGGATTGCTGCGAAAGAAAAGCGCTAGGAAAACGGACTGCTGTTATATACTCTATAGCTGCCTGGCATAGCAAGCTTGCTTTGTAGTTCTCAGGAATGTGCCAAATGCCTTCAGACAAATGCATTACATGGTCTCTGTCCAAAGTTCTTAATATCTCAAATTTGCACGATGCAAATAGAAGGTAACAAAGCTGTTTGGGGAGAGGATGACTGATTGAGGTTATATTAAGACCATGGGATTACTCAACAGAGGCATGCAAACATCGCTGGACAAAGTTTATCAGTCTGTTCCAAATTCTAATTTGTTGGAGCATTGTTTGTGCAGATTATGCTAGGGTTTTACTTTGAATCTTTATTGTCTGAAAAGACTCCTCTTTCTCTAAGGACCTCTATTCCCTTCTCTACTGGTAGCAAAAGATTTAAAGCCTAACAAAACTCCAGGGCCACCCAGCCACAGGGTAAGATTTCCAGTAACTGATTCTGGATCTGAAATCCCCTGCCTGTTTGCAAAGCCAAGTCTAAAACTTCAAATGTTAAAAAGCAGAGGATATTTGCCACACGTTGCTCTTCACAGAGGTTTGTAGTTGTGATGATAATTCCATTCTAGTACCTCTTATATTGTAGGTTCTGACTTCCTGCACCAGCAAGCTACAATAGAGAGATATACAGAGAATACTAAAGCAAATTTGGACATCTGAAAATACAAGACTAGGCCAGAAACCCATCCCATGCAGAAGAACTTACCAATTACCCACTGAGAGAAAACAAATCCTGTTTCAGAGACACTATTTCTCACAGAGTTTAGCCTTTGTAATTAGTTTGCCTTATTGAGGCCAGCTGTTGAAGTAACACCTGCCATAGAGGCTGGATGCATTCAGTCTTGGACATGGTTGCAATGAAGGGATTTGGCGCTCCAGTTTAGCCACAGGTGGACAACTTGCCGGCAGCCTTGAGACTACACCTGATTTGTTTTGGGAGACTGGAAGTCAAGCAGGTAGCAGTGGGTTCAGTACAGAGGCACAGCTTAGAAGTTCCAAGCCAAACAAAAATTCCTTTCCCGAGATACCTCCTGAATTAAGGGGGCTCTGCTAACAATTATCCCTTTTATAAAGAGGCATGTGGGGAGGCAAAGGCTACATACAGTGCCTGCTTCTGCTTCAGTCAGAACCTTTTCTCACTGAACAGTCTCAAACTGCAATGCGTTTGTGTTGTTTTGACAGGTATCTGACCCGCTGGTCCGTCAAATCTGCAAAGCCCATCTGGAAGAGGGGCCCTAAGTGGTGCAAAGTACCCATGCCAGTCGGACACCCTTTGCTGAAGGATAATGTCAAATATACACACAAGCCTCTCTATTTAAACCATTAGTGGCCAGAACTGGCATACTAAGTAAGCACAACTGTTTTCCACTGTTCTGCTTTTTTTTTTTGCAAGTTTGTCAATGTCTCCAATTTCATTATTCCAAAACTGTCATTAGTACTCTATATTGTCTCCAGTGAATGATCTGCGATCTGCTCCTCTAGGAGAACACAAGGTTCAGCAAACCAAACTTCAGTGCGCAGAATTATTTGGAGAAAGCAGGGGGCAAAGACTTCTACCTCAAAGCCAGAAAGGATCTGAAGGCCTCTGTTTCATTATGGTCCACAACTGGGTTTGGAAAAGGATTTTTCCTTCTTTTTCCAGTAATGAATGGTGATTCCCCATTAATGTGTGTTTCAACTCAGATTTGCCTCATTTGGGTTTTTGTACCTGTGACACTGATGGAAGAAAAATATCTCCTGCAGTAACAGAAATTGTTAGTGACTACTGAAATTATTTTTTTTATAATCTGTACTACCTATAATTTGCAGCAGAACACATGTGGCAGTGGCAGACTGGCATGTGTGCATATTACATGTCCCCTTAAGGATTTCTGGCTTGTGCTTCACTCCCGGATCTAGCAAATACAGAATGTTGACATCCTTGGTGACTTGGCCTGTTCTTTCCCCTTGCAAATACAGTTGCTACAAGCCTTCCATGTCACTGCTATGGCTGCTTCCTGGGAGAGTTTGGGACTGAGAGATGTGCATCATTTTCCATCCTCTAACTAAAAGGTGACACCATTTCTCTCCCTGTACAGTGCACGTATGCACCTTCCACCTACTGACCACTGCTGCTTGAGAAGCGCTGCTTATGGGCCTGGTATGAAAGGCTCGTTACATTTATCAGGGTTATTATCGCTTTGGTTCCACTTCTGTGACATTTTTCTGGGGGCTACAAATGAACACAGCTTTTGTATGTACTACTGTGCCGCTTAACCTTATTTACCGCTTTCATCAGAATCATACGCTAATACCTATCGGCATGGACAGAAGCGAAGGGTAAGGATAAACCCTATTACCCAGGAAATCAAATTAGATTATAATGGTTCTCTTTAGCCTTACTTTGTGAAATGGAAGCCCTGCATTCAGCTCCTGGAGCTGGCCAAGATCTTTTTGCTTTGGGAGACAGAGCCAAGACTTCATTAACTACGGAGATAAAATCTCTGGCTGACCGTCTCCATTTTATGAAGCTTTGAAACGAACAGCCCTTCAGAAAGGAAAAGATTTTTCTTTCTTCTACGTGCAGAAGTTACTATGTCTTCTAGCCCAGATAGCTCTGCTCAGTGAGTTTTTCTAATGGAAAAGTCACTGGATTAAACAGTTGCCTTGTGATGAACCTGAATAAGCACCACATGATGCCCACAGTTCATTTTTTTCTACAGTTTAATGCCTACAGCTGGAAAGACCCCTCTAACTTTGGTGAAACCTAACATTTGGAAAAAAAAAAAATGCTCTCATCAGTATGCCTTTCTGGAGTTGAGGGTTTAGTAGAGATGCCTTACAGTAAGCATCAGCTTTCTACTCCGACTGCAAGGCAAAACTATTTTTGTTTGTCATTCATGGGTGACAGCAGGCACTCATTTGTGTTGTCTCCAAAAGAGTTTTTGTGTGAGCATGGTGCCTTTGTAATCAGACAGATGGCCTGGGCTTCATTTGTTACTATCTAAAGGACCTGCAGGACACATTACAGGGAATTCAATCTGGAGCTGAGGGATGATTGCACATAGTGAAGTCTTAGGAAAAGAATCAGAGCCAGAGTCCAGGCACAAAAGAATCCTGCTCAAAGTGCAGAGGTTTCACACATTTATTAGAACAAGCAGTAAACAAAAATCTCCTAAGTACAAAATCTAAATGTTGTCAAGTCTTCATTGCACACAGGAGAATCACAGCATGAAGGGCAGATCTAAGTTCTTCTCGCCAGTGCCAAAGTAGACATAGCCATATTGCTTGGTCATTGGGACATGGTAGAACGTCAGTCCCAGCCATAGCAGGCTCCGCAGCACCACCACAGCACCTCCCTTCTCTTGCTGGACAGTCCAGGAGCCTGTGCAGGAACATGTGCTAATGAGTAACTGCAAAGGAGAAAGAGGCAGCATTCCTGGAGCAAGGTGTCCCTAAGCCTGGAGAAAGATTGTGGTGGGTTCTGCCTGACCAGTTAACAGTGCACAAGGCTGCACTGGAATCTGTGACAGCTGAAAAGAGGGCATCAAGGTTTCTGTCTCCCTGACTTCCCTTTTTTCTTTTGTCAGTCTGGCATTACAGACTGCCTTCGTTCCCAGATGTTTGTCTAGTTTCACACAGTAGCATATTCCCATGGCTATGATGGTAATGTCACATGCGTCACAGGAAGGGACCCTTGGAGCTCCAGACTTGGATATTTGATCCCTAGGAGAGACTACAGCTATTCTTGGCAGCTTCTGAGTGGGCAGCAGTTACTCTAACAAGCTCTGCCACCTACTTGGTCTAGCTAATAGCTATAGAGAGCCAAGACTAGCTATAGAAATCCTGCATAGGTATGAAATTTCTTCTTAAAATAAACTCATAGCATTAGTAGTGGGAAAAGGAAGAAGGCACTTTCCTGCTCAAGGGAAGACTGGCTTGCCTGATGCAGCAACTGGGAAAGAAAAAGAAGAGAAACTGAAAAGCGGGGTATCTCCTGTCTCAGAGAAATTGACAGAAAAGGTTAATTCTCTTCAGTCTTTCTTGGCTCCACCATTGAAGAGAATGTGCGTGGTAGGGGCAAAGGGATTAGTTTCCGCATTAATTTTGCTTTGGCTCTGCAGAGGAGATTTGGAGCCAATGCGAAAATGCAATTTCTCCTGGATGCAAGGAGCTCTGAGCCACTGAGTATTTGTTTTGCGCCTGACACGACAGCCTGGGAACAATGCCGGAGGGGAGGGGGCTGGAGCATCAGGTTGGATTCATTGCTGGAGGGCACCAAATCAGTAATACTTAGAGGCTACGATATAAGCAAGAAGGTTCCTGCTGAATCTCCATCAAAAAAGCAAAAGCAGCAGGCCCAAATGAAAAAAAAATGCAGTTGGAGCTGTCAGGCTACTACTGGCCTAGAGTCAAGCGTTCAGCCTGTCTGCACCCAAAGCCAAAATCTGCCACTTCCAGAGTAAGCAGAAGGCCCATAATGTGTTGGGCCAGTTACACAGTATTCATCCTTGTAGATAATTTTAGGCTCATCAATTTATGCTATGACTCATGCTTACTCATGTCATGGTTAGCCTGGGGAAGGGCTTCTGCAATTGCTGTCAGCTGCCAGTCCTCCCCCTCACGCTAACTTCTGACTCCTGGCCAATTTTAGTCACATCCGACAAAGGGCTGAAGGGCTTTAACACCGCGAGTTCTTACAACAGGTCTTCACAAACACGGGCCAGGGGTTGACTGCAGCTTCTGCAGCTATTTGTTTGGCCTGCCAGCAGCTGCGAGTTTGGATTGCCTGGCAGCCAAGAGGCAACAGCTACCTGGGCAATCAGTGTTTGCACGCTCGCTTTCAGTACACGTAGTCTCATATGCAGTTCATGGCAAACTACAGTAGTTGAGGGCTTGAGGGAGGAGGAAAGTTGAGGGGAAATGTATATAATGGCATCTGCAGAATCAGAAAGGAACATCACAGTTCAAAGCCCTGTAAAACCAGGTGTCACAAGTTGTGCTGCTCACTTGTCTTTTCCTCTGTATTTCTATACTTTTCAAAAGTTTCTTGGACACCCTTGTTTCCCCTCCTTCATTAGCAAGTTCCATAGGTTTGTTATACCGCAATATGCACAACATAAGTCCTGCATCATCTTTGATGTGTTATCTTTCAAAGTACCCTCTTCAGTTATGTGCAAACATGGAACTAAATGAAGAGCAAGAATAGTGACCTTCTGTGACAGTCCAGTGACTGTCTGCAGGTCAGAAGTACAAAAGAGACATTCACAGTCTTTAAAGACTCAGGAGATTTCTGCTGTGGAGATCTTACATCTGACTCATCTCCATGTTTCCACTGAAGACAAACAGCTGGAACAGCAGTAAAGCAAAGCACTACTTAATTGGGCAGGATCAGTATAGGTGTATGGCATCTTTTCACCTTCCCTGCACTGTGATATTCTTTGTGCAGGTCCTAGTTAAAACATGAGCTGGTGTCTTCACAAGCAGTGGTTTCACGTACAAGGCAACCCCCATCTCCCAAGCAGTCTCTCCAGTGCCACTCATATCTACACAAACTGGACTGGATCATTGTCGTACCTGGAGTAAAACCACATATTATCGTTCAGCCACTGGGATTACATATTCTGACTGAGTCTCTCTTGAGTCTGCATGTTCTTCAGTACTTGAGTAGCATGGAAACCCAGGTGAAGAACACTTCACTAGAAGGCAAGATCATCCAGTGGCTGAAGCAGTACAGCCATCTGCTGTCAAAGGACAAGCTTTCAAACAGTTTCTTGAACTTTGCCTCTACAAGTTTTCAGCATTTGCTGCCATTTACATTGGCAGTAGCTAGACTACGCGTAGGGCTGTTGAGCAACAAGCGGCAAGCAAATAGGTCTGAATGCAATTGTTACAAATAACTTTCTCTATTTCTCCTTTGAACACTGAACTGACTTTGCTTTCAGTGCAGGCTTCTTGCAGCTTGAACTTGCAGAAACGATCTGCAAGTCCTTCATCCAAATACTGGTGGTTCTTGTCTTACACACTGGTTTGCAGAAGGGACTGTAAACATTTGGAAGAGTTTCTCTGACCGAAAGGTAATGGAATGAGGAACTCTCCTTGTCTTTGATTTAGGACCAGTCCTCTGAGAAGCAAGTCTGTCAAGAATAGGACTGTGCCTTGCCTTGCTGGGTGGTGAAAGCCTTTAGGGATTATCTAGTTTGCTAATGCCTCCCAACATACTGGAAGCATCCAGCAGCCTGGGTACATGTGATAGCTTGTATATATATGTTCATGTACACAGATGAACCCTCTGCCCCAAACTATTTACAAAGAACAAAAAGAAATGCCTGGAGCGTGACAAATGGGAAAGGCGAGAAGGAAAATAGGGATATTAACGCTCTCAGGAACTGTATCTGGATTCAGACTTCTTTGTTGGACAGATTTGCAGAGAAGGTAGAGTCAATAAAGTTCAACATTTTTAAATCCCCTTATCTATGCTCTGGGACAATACACTACATGGATCCACAATCTCCTCAGAACATCTACCCAGCGTCACACGGGCTTATCAGTCTCTGCAGAGTATTCATCAGCAGTTAACTGCTGATCAAAGGAACTTCCCATGCACCTTCACACCTGGCAGAAATGGACAGATCTAACTGAAGACACTTTATGCTCAATCTCTGAAGGCTGCGATGTGCAGCTGCTTCATTTCCCTACCGTCTGTCTAAGCTGCAGATTCTCCAAGGGCTCAGATTTGTCATTTCATAAATGTGAGACCTTTGGGGAATATTAAGTTGTTATATTTTCCAGCTCGTTTCTGATCCTGGATTCTGCATCTAGTTCTATGCAAATACGAACAATAAAGTTTTGCTGATGCTGCATAAGTCTTCCTGTGAAACGAGGACCTGAACAAAACAAGCAGGTTACTTAAGGGCAATCCCAACTGGACCGACACAGCATAGGCTGAGGACAGGAAAAACTGTAAGAAACAGCCTGAAACTGTTACAATATTTTCACTCAGATCCTGTTTTCAGACAAAATGATGATTAGTCATAGAGCTACTCCATATTCTGCAGAGCCAAACGGCAGCAACAGTGCCACCTTCCACCTTTTACTAACCAGGTCATTGGGGCCATTTTTCTAACCCAGCTAGCAGAGGTGATTTATTTGGTATATTTTTCCAGGGTAGATTTTTGCAACACGTAAACCCGATTCAGAAACTGCACTTGATACACAATGCTGGTGTCTGCTTTCTTAGAAGACATCACATTTTCAGACA